TATCCAAACTGGTCAAGAGACTAAAGAATATAAAATCACATGTCCAGGCCTTCATGTGATTACTCAACACTCCAGGTCCCAACCACGGCTGTTAGATCTTTCTCGTCAAATCCAACAAGCTCAATTGTATTTGCAGCACTAGATTATTTTAGCCATGTCACAATTTAGACTTAGAAAAATATTTTTAATTAAACATCTCCAGTAGATCATTGTTTCAGGTCATGTTTCAAAACTGGTGATGTTCCTAAAGTGAACGTGAATGTGGTTCCATTTCTAGACTGAGTTCTATCGATCTGCTTCAAACATTCTTGAAGAAAGCACAGGATTTACAGACCAACAGATGATAAACAGAGTTTCAAAGAGCAACAAGCTTACTAAGTTCTGGTTAGGAACAAGGCACAGTGGTAGGGGCGAGAGTGACTGAGAAAAATAAGAGGCCATAAAGCAGTAAAGCAATAGCTTTGGGCTTTGGAGTCAGACTAACCTGGGTTCCGATCCCATTCTACAGTCTGCTAGATGGTGACCATGGACAAGATTCTTAACTTCCCTGTGCCTCAGCTGCCTCACCAGTAAACTGGAGTTAGCAACAGTGCCTACCTCGCAGGGTTGTTGAAAGGCTGGATGACATCAATCTGTGCACACATTTAGCTCTGAGTCTGGCACTCAGGAAACTTTAGCTCTGGTTATGCTAAAATTCATTCTCGGCCTCAAGGACCCCAAATACATTTACAAATGAAAATATTCAGTATGAAAGAATGGCCCTAAATTATACATGTTAAGTGAGCAGCATTGGTCACAAAGAAGCAAAACTTTAGGAGTGTGAGGCACCGCTTCATCTAAGGATAGTGAAAGGTCTCATGGAAGAGGTGAGACTGAAGCAGGCTGCCTGGGGTGGGCACTTACCATTCGCCAAACACTGTGGGTACCTTGTATGTATCTCTACAACAAAAACAAAGTAGATACCTTTAAAACCCAATTTTATAAGTGAGAAGCTATTTTACTGGTGAGCTTGCTAAGACTCAGAGAGCTTTAGTAAAGTCATCCAACTGGTGGCAGATCTACGTTCAAATTCAGGCCTATCTGACACCAAAACTCACAATCCCACTGCTATGCACTGGGAAACTGGGGGAAAGATGCTGGACAGAGGGGGAAAGGGGAAGGAGGAAGATAAATCATTCCAGTATGAGTCAGGGAAGAGCAGAGTAATCAAATTATATGGCAAGTGCAAAGCAAACAATTTAGGATTTTAAAAAAAAGAAAAATAAGGATAGCATAGTAGGTAGGGCCACAGACAATGGAAAGCTAAGGACTTCTGCCTATGGGTAATGAGGAATTATTGTTTTGTTTTCAGGGTGTGTGTGTTTAAATAAATACTACTACCACAAATAAGAACATTTATTGAACACCATCTAAGGGCCAGGCCCCATGCTAAACCCTTTGCATACATTATTTCTAATAGTTACAAACAACTCTGCAATTTAGGTATTATCACCCCCATATCAGAAATAAATAAGGCCCTGAGAGATCAAGTCACTCACTCAGATGCCTCCAGTAAATGGCAGAGTGGGATTCATACCCAAGTGTCTATGAGGTCAAAGCCAGTGCCCTTTCCCCTAAAACAGCATTGCAGATAAACCTCCCTTGCAGTGGAGAGCTGAAAAATAAGGGAAAAGAAAATGTGAGACTGGCAACTACAGATCCAGAGTGATGAGATAAGTATCTCAACTGGAGTCACTCTGAAAATGGAAGGGAGGTGACAGAGAGTGAATGTGTTCATGACCTTTTCTTTCATTTACTCCCTTTCTGTGTCATGTTCTGTTACCTGAAGTAGAAACCAAGTTAGTAATTATTTCAATCTCTATTACTGTTCTTGTCCTCAAGCCCTGATTTGAGTCCTGTTGTTAGCCCAATAGCAAACACGGATTTAAGTATTTACTTATCCCACCACCATGTTATTGGGTCTAAAATATGGCATCATCCTCTAATCTGTTATCTGTATTGAAAAGCTATCATTCAAAAGAATAAAACTGAGCCTCCACATCCAATAAATTACATTATGCTCACATGCCAACATTTTTTTAAAAATCTGCCTTAACATATATCCTGTCAAAGCAAGAGGACACATATGCTGAGCTCCAATGAGCTCTACCAAATCCTACATCATTATTAAGATTTGTCATGATCTCAGAGATCACATAGTTTTATAAAACAGAGTATGTTACCATGCTCACATGCCAACATTTTTTTAAAAATCTGCCTTAACATATATCCTGTCAAAGCAGGAGGACACATATGCTGAGCTCCAATGAGCTCTACCAAATCCTACATTATTATTAAGATTTGTCATGATCTCAGAGATCACATAGTTTTATAAAACAGAGTATGTTACCAGTATCTGTTGGGCTGCCTTCTAGTCAATATTCTAGGCAAAGCAGCACAAAAAATAAAGCAGTAGGATATGTATGCATATAAATATATCTTTCAAACTAATGCAAAAGCTAAGCGCCAAGAGGACAATTACTTACAGTCTCTCATTTAATAGAATCAAGAGTTAGAAGTTTTAATATTCATGTAATGATTTCCCCCCAAAACAAAATATTTTTGCATTAAAATCTTAGCTATTCTCCTTGCCATTCAATGACAAACTGCAATGTTTTGAGTGAAAAAAACAGTAGTATACTGGAATACACAGAAATGAGTTGAAATTCATAAAGATAAAAGATTGTGCATTGTGGTTTGTGCACTGCCTTCACCAGAAAAAGATATTTATAAATACAAGGCAAAGCAAAATAATGGCATAAACACTCCAATTTTAAAGTTCCTAATTACACAGTGATCTGTGGTTTGTTTTTTTTAACCATTGGAATTGATTTTATTCCTATGTGTGAATACATACATAGATGTTAAAGAATTCTGCTCACCTGTACATACTCAGACCCAACCAAATATTGTGGAGAATTTAGCAATAAAATCCTTTATTTGAAGTCAGGCTTTCTACTATGCCATTATTCAACATAAAGATAGAACTACTTTAATAAATAGACCAGAAGCTAAACCATCTTTTTTTTTCTTTTCATCAATTGAGGCTTCCTGCAAACCCACTTATACAGACAAGTTCATTCACTTTTTCTTCATATATGAGTGTTTCTTTAACCACCTAAGCCAGATACCATCACATACCTACTAGCCCAGTTGCCTGTCATTTCAATGGTTTACTGCAACTCTACCCTTTTCCCACCTTCTGATTCAACAGGGCATTTAATTTTTTCCCCTATTAAATAAAAAAATTAGGATTAAGAGTTCAAATCCTCAAGTAGTTCAGTGAACTGTCCATTAATATTATTTAACCCCAGGGAATTTTCTGTTTAATTGCCACTCTCTCCCTTCCCCCGAAGGACTACATCTTATTTTGATGTTGTAATGGAAAGCACTGCATTAAGACACACAGAGCAAAAACATAATGGGTTTAAATTTTTAAACATCTAACCTTTTCATGAGTCATGGTAAATCATTTGCACCTGTGACTTTAATAATCAGCCTAGCAATTAGAGAAGCAAAATCTGCACGACAAAACTAGGTAAGGATGTCCCAATCACAACCATATGAGGGAGGGAAGCAAAAAGCTATTTTGTCATATGTGACATGAAGAAAGTTTCACAAGTCAGCTCCACCAAATCTTGAGACCATTAGAGCTCTGCATACGTAAAATCTTCATCTTCTAAAGTCAAGATTTTAAGAAATATATACCTTACTGTATTTTCAAATATCAATTTTTACCTTCTGTAACAATTTTTCAACTTTAAGTCTCAGGGGAAAAAAGGCTCTGGAACATAAGCACAACATTAGGAGGGGAAAATAGCTTATTTTAGAAATCATTCTTCCCACTGAGAAATTTGAACCATTGACATTACGTCACTGAATCATTTATTTCATTGCAAAAGACAAATAGCAAAAGTGGCAATATTCTGAAAATGTGATGGAAGTTGTTCTACATCAATGAAATACACAAGTCCAGAAGGTACAAATATGGTCTGTCAGTTGTACTCCACTCTCAGCAAGTCATTTCCCTGTGGGCTGAGGCTCCCACATCATGGAAATCTTCCTTAAACGCCAAAGGCTGAAGGGGATTCCTTGTGAACAGCATCTGGACCACACCTTGTTAGATCACACAAGAAGCTGACAAGAGCTGGAGGAAAATGTGGCTGGTCCAAAGATGACAGCATAGGATCAAAAATCAAAATATGTCTCCCTTCAATTTAATAGTGAGGGCCCCTAAAATGGCTATTTATCCAATAGACTTCTCCTTTCAGTTGGTTCCTGACTATCCAATACCAGATTTTGGTCATTCTGTGGGCTGGCTGGTAGGATTTTGTGGTCCAGCAGCTGCCAGCCTTTTATAACCTCAATGATGTTGTGGAAGCATCCATTTAGTGTATAAATATGCTTTTGGCATTTAAACACTGCCAAGTGAAATATTAGAGGACAAACTCCCCACCCACTGCAGAAATTTCCCAGGTCTAAGCATCTAGGATGAATATTCCAAATTACCCGTAGCAAAATTTTTTAGATTTTTTTTAATCCTCTTGCTTGCTGAGGATCCTACTGAGGAGCCTCCCAGAGATGGTACCCACAGTTCAGGCTATTGGTCCTACCATTTACCTAGTTAAGGAAGGAAGAAGTGTTTGATAGTTACCCAGGCTCCTTCCACTTGTAGCAGGAATGAACACCAAAAAAGCATCAGAACACTCAACTCCTTGGAGATTTAAAAGCCTTATGCAAGGAGAGAGAGACCTCTCCCTCCTCATCTGCACCCCCCACCCTGTTTCTGCTCTAGCCCTAGAATCAGCAGCCCTTCAGTAATTCCATCCGGCTCCAGAGAGAACGCTTTATCCACGGGGCTTCCGGGCCTGACCCCGCGAAAGCCCAGCTGGGCATCCTTCTTCCCACCTTTCCAATCCCCACACCCAAGCCCTTCCCACCGCCCCAGCCTACCCCCTTACCTGATAATGTCGTCGTTGTGTCCCAAGAAGAATTTTTGGCTGTGTTCGCGGGTGTTGTAAACCACCCCGACCCCAGCCACAAAGTAGACCACCTCCTTGCCGGCCGTGTAGTACAGGTTGTTGCGGCACTGGTGACCCCGGTACCCGTACACCCACTCCAGCCGGAGCTGGCCGCTGGGAGCCGTCCGATCCGCCATGATAAGCCGACCCCACTCGCCCCTCAGCACCCGCCCCGCGCGCAAGTCCGCGGCCCCTGCGCGCCGGGTCAGTCCTCGCCAAGGCTCGGGCCGCGGCGGACCTGCAAGGGCTCAGTGTGCAGCGCCCGGCGCTGATTTCCGCGGCGACGCACAGGCACAGCCCAGCGCGCCCGCCGCCACCATCATCCGCCGCCGCCGCCTCTGGAGACTAGCA